AAAAAAAAAAAAAAAAAAAAAATGGGTGGGGGCTGATGAGATTATTCATAGAATCCTGGATGTAATTTCACACATATGCTTACTTTACATAGTTATTGATAATATATTACTACATTCTAATTATAACTTTTTTCAAACAATGGTTTTATAAATTAATGGGAACACATCTACCTAGGCAAAAACCATTTACTGTGATTATTTGTTTTTGGTATCTTTTTCCAATAAAGTGGAGGGTAATAATATTTCCTTCACATAGATGTTTTGAGCCTTATATACGTTACTTGGCACAGTGATTTAAAACCATGACTAGCATGTAGAAAGACCCCACCCATGAGTCCTTCACCAGCAAGTTTATATTTTCAAAGCCTATGATAATTAATTTGGCATCTCATGAACGTCTCTGAGATTCCCTTCACTTAGCAAATGTTTCTGTTTTGGTAAATAGGTGAGTACTGGATTGATCCTAACCAAGGGTCAGCCGAAGATGCAATCAAAGTTTACTGCAATATGGAAACGGGAGAAACATGTATTTCAGCAAACCCATCCACGATCCCACTTAAAACGTGGTGGGCCAGCAAATCTCCTGACAATAAGCCTGTCTGGTATGGCCTTGACATGAATAGAGGATCTCAGGTAACTTAATATGCTTCCTCAGTTGTAGTCTTTTCCTTCATTATTTCTTGTCTCCTTGTATCTGTTCACAACTATGGCATGCTGTTATTTTTTTGCCGTGTTTATTTTTAAGTGATACATTCTTATTAGTAACAATTGCAATGTCACTTCATAAAAAGCTTTACTATGTGATAAATTAAAAAGAAGTTTGAATTATAATTTTTATCATTTGATAGAAAGTAGAGAATTAACTATTTTCCATGTTAATTCATCTAATTTATTTGACACTGACTGTGAAGTGGTCTTTCCTCAGTTGAAAGATAGTCATTATTTTTAGCCTCGGGAGGCCCTGGTAACGCCTACCTTGATCTATTTCTTACTGATATTGGGCTTTATGAGGTGGCTGGCCCTTTTGGAGCCTTGGTATCACCAGCTTGCAGTGAGAGTGGTAGTGTGGACCCATAGTTCCATGTGAATTTAAATTCTGAGTGAAGTATCCAGTACACAGCAAGTGGTAACTATCATAGCATTTTCATACTCAAATCATTTTGTGAACTTTGCAGTCTTAAGCTTAAGGCGTGTTATAATTATAGAAATTTTATTAATATCCTTCTGAGTTCCAGTGTACTCCATATTTCTATCGTTGTCCAGTATTCAGAGTCTCCTCAGGCTTTGCTATTTCCTGTTGTAATGTGAATGTGTCATCCCAGGCCTCACTGTGCCAGCCTAACTCTCAAATTTTCTTCTGATCTCTGCTCTTAACCTTCCCCCGGAACTCATCTCAGAATACACATGAGGCAATAACACCATGGGCATGCACAGGGTATCCCAGAATTTACCATTGTTTAATGAACAGGAAAATTTAAAATGTAAATTTAAGCAATTGAAATGTAACTTAAAATATTAAGTAAGAACTCAAACAGGAGCATGGTAAACAAAACTTAAATTATGAAATGGACAGAAAGAGCCTATGGGAAATTATTTTTGATAATTTTGTGTTACCAAGTACAAAACTCTTAATTCACATTTCCTGCAAGTACAGAAGAGTTGGGTAAAAAAGCAATTATTCCAACAGTCCATGCTCAGTGCTTATTATAATGAGTGGTAAAACTAATGAGTTATTTTTCTATACAATTAAGACAGATCTCAAGATTTCTAACCTTTCTCTGGAAACTTACAATAATTACTGGCTTCACCACCTTTTGTTTGACATGAGGACAGATGTGAATATGCATAGAAATCTGAAGATTTTTTATATGAATAGACAGACTAGCTTCTTATAATGACAAGAATTAAAGCAACACATCTCAAAAATGATTTGTCTAAGGTTAATTTATCTAACTATAGCATTATCAAAACCTTCAGAATGGCATGTAACAAAGACCGTGTTTTGTGTCTTTTTTTAGTTCACTTACGGAGACTATCAGTCACCTAACACTGCCGTTACACAGATGACCTTCTTGCGCCTTTTATCAAAAGAAGCATCCCAGAACATTACTTACATCTGTAAAAACACCGTAGGGTACATGGACGATGAAGGCAAGAACCTCAAGAAAGCTGTCCTTCTTAAAGGCGCAAATGACTTGGACATCAAGGGAGACGGGAACATTAGATTCAGATACACAATTCTTCAAGACACCTGCTCTGTAAGTACTTTTTGAACCATGGTCCATCCGCTTGAAGAAAACAATATATTTTTGTTAAAAATACTCTCAGGGTACCAGAAGTCATGACAAATTTACCCTGTGTATAGTATAATCACAGGAACATTTTGTGTGTGGCTGTTCTTCAGGTAAACTTGCACATGGAGCGAGTTAGAAGTATTAACTAAGAGAGAGGGCACTGGATCCCTAGGGTTGGATCCTGCTCTTCCGCAGCTATCTTTGGTTCTACTGTAAGGTATTTTTATTGATTAGAATTCCTTGAGTCTAAAATGTAGTCAATTATTGATTTCTATGTCTTTGAAATGACATATCCAGATAGAAACAAGGAGAATGTAGGATGAAGAATTATTCTTTCATTTGAATAGAATAAAAAATTCTTTCCTAATTTGTATTGTGACTATTTGAGGAGCTGCAAAAGAACGAGGAATTTACTCAGAAAGAAGCAGCTGCTATCCATGCTAGGACCTCGCTTCGTGTTACCAGTGCTCTGACTTCTGAGTAGTGCTTGTTGCTTTTCCATTATAAAAGTGACCTGGGTAGGTTGTTGCTCTACATCAGTGGAGAATGTGAAGGTATTGTTGATCCATTCCATCATTTCCTTCCAGAAGCGAGATGGAAATGTGGGCAAGACTGTCTTCGAGTACAGAACGCAGAACGTGGCGCGCTTGCCCATCATAGATATTGCCCCTGTGGATGTTGGCGGCACAGACCAGGAATTTGGCGTTGAAGTCGGGCCAGTTTGCTTTATGTGACACAAGCCCGGAGACATCAGCAGTGTACCCACCCTCGATGACGACCGTCGCCGTTCATGAGGACTTTGCCTGTTTGAAGCTGATCCTGAGACTCTTGAAGTAATGGCTGATTCCACTTAAGTGTTGTACATATGATCCTAAGTGCCCGGCCTCCTTGCCCTTCAGAATATTTATTTTACTTACCAGTCTTGAATTTTAATTGACCTAAAATATTTTTCAGTAGGAAAGTTTAGGTTTAAGACAACCATTGACAATGACCACCTTTTAAAAAAAGTAAACTGATGAAATAAATAAATATATCTTTTCTTCAATTTATTTCGATGCAATGAAAAAATTGCTTAGTATTTATGAAGAAATTCTTCTTTCTGGCAGGTAGTTAAAGAATGGGGTATGTAAAAGTACAACACATGTCTATTTTGCTTGGCTGTGGTTTTATGAATAGAAAGTAGAGCCCTTTTGTGACCTCCCATTCCCGGATTATCAATGAAAAATAAAAATATTTAACTTTGCAATTGAAACCCACATCCACATCTTGATACTGTGTAACAATTATAGAAAATCTTTAATTTAAAAAAATCAAGTTTTTCATTGCCTTAAATGGAATTTTTAAACAGTCTATATTCAGTGGAACTTCAGGAGAAAAAAGTGAAATTGCTTCAACTTCTTGAAGTTTTGTAAAGGCTGATATGTTTATATTCACTTCTAATTTTCACAATGCCGTTTCCCTTTTGATGCATTCAGTCAAAACAGATAGATGTTGTATAGGTATAGCATTTAATACATTTGTATTTTCTTACCTAAGAGAAAACTGAACAAAATAATGTACATATATATCTTATGAATACATGTCCAGGTCCCAAAGTTGAGACTCTTCCATATGTACAGTCGCATCATGCTGAAGCCTATAATGAAGAAAAAGATGTAGAAACCCAGAGTTGTGGAGTTGCCTCTAATCAGATGTGATGATTGGGATTAGAACATTTGGCCTTTGAACTTTTATAGACAAAAATGACTCAACATTGGGCCGGGGATTTAGCTCAGTGGTTCTGCTGTTTGTCTCATAAGCGCAAGGTCCTGAGTTTGATCCTCAGTATGAAAAAAAAAAAAAAAGACCCAACATTTCTTAGCATGAGCTACCTCATCTCTAGAAGCTGGGATGGACTTACTATTCTTGTTTATATTTTAGATACTGAAAGGTGCTATGCTTCTGTGATTATTCCAAGACTGGAGATAGGCAGGGCTAAAAATTATTATTATAATGATGATATTCTTTAATGATGGTGCTAAAATTCTTTCTATACAATTCTTTAAAAATAAAGACTATTTCATCAATACACTTGTGAAGACGTAACTGTTAGATTTCCCATGTCCAAAAGGTGCGGTGGTGTCCCAGCTCCTTTCTGTGCTTGGCTCCTTTCTGTACCGTACCCACTGTGCTTTATAATACTTTCATGTTTCTTAGACCAGAGCATACAGGTCCTCTTGAGTCTCTAGAAATTTTTTTTTCCTTAATTGCATTTATTGTTTCCATTTTTATTTCTTAGTTAAAAATAAACAGGGGCATCCCAAGGACAAGCCATGCACACAACTTTGGTCATATATCTCTGCAAGGCATCAAATTAAAAGCATGCTTTTTGTCATGCCAGTGTTTTCTCGTCACCTGTCTCTCTTGTATTATGCTAGAGTTATGATTTTCCGTTTTCTCCTTCAATGTTTCTTCAGGCCACATACTCTGCTCCATTTTCGCTGTCACCGGTCCTCGTTCACATATCCTGGGCTCTTTTTGTGGTCTTCCAACAGATTTTCAAACATTCACTCTTCCCCTCTTCTTCCCTTCTTCCTGTGATAATCAATCTGTCAATCAATTTGATCTGCTGATCAAGTGATCAATTCGAAATACGATTCTGAATATGTTACAAGTCACTTGCCCCACCCCACTAATACAAGACACACACATACATACATACATACACAAAATACATTATTTATCTTTAAAATATTTAGAAAGTTATATATCTGGATGAGAATTCAGTATTGTTTTTCATTTGTTCATATGAAGACAGTGGTCCTCAAATTATAAGGCTCTGGCATGACCTGACTCCTTGGTCTTCATTAGGTCACTGAATGCCCTAGTCTTTGCTCCACTCAGAAGACATTTGTCCACTTCCCAAAAGTTACTGGATTTTGCATCCCATCAAAGACCATTGGTGCACATGCTCTTTCTACCCAGTTTGCCTGTTCTAATCTTTCAGAGCTCTGCTCAATGCTACATCTTCCCAAGTTCTTACTAAGTTCCTCACTCTTCACCACAATACAGGTTAGACAAATTTTCCTCTTCTGTATTTCCTTGGCACCCTAAATTTTTCCTTCATAGCACAGCTTACTGTATTTTATATAGTTACATGATCATGTCCATTTTTTTGATTAATTGTATCTGTTATAAAAGCAGAGGCTATTCACACAATATCCAAAAAACTTCTTAGTATTTTTTCCAATTCAACATAAATTTACTGAATGAATAATGAGAAATGATATATTGTGTGACTGGAATTACATACTGAGTGTACAAGAAAAGTACATTCAGACAGCACTCACACCTGATTTCTATACTAATGTGGAACGTATATCAGTATATTATTATTTTGTTTCTACTTGTATTATCTGACAGAAAACACATAAGAACAAATGATTTTTTTATCAAATGCAATAGCAACATACAACAGAATGTGACAAGAAATTTGCAGAACCAGATTTAATAAATTAAATATGATGCCACTCAAAGTCTTGATAGAATCTAAAAAATATGAAACACGACAAAACCATTCTAAAGCTCATTGGAGTGAAAAATATGCAAGAAGGTTAATAAAAAAATCTCACCCCACTGGGCGTGGGGCATGCCTGTAATCCCAGCACTCAGGAGGCTGAAGCAGGAGGATCGCTGTGAGTTCGAGTCCAACCTGAGCTACATAGTGAGTTCCAGGTCAGTCTCAACTACACAATGAGACCCTGCCTCAAAAACAAAACAAAACAAATTTCCCCCAAAGAGAAATGGTGAATAAAGATAAGGCACTGACTCTGCTAGATATTTACAAATTTTAAAAAGCAACTGCTCACAGGAAAATGGACACGTATTTAGAAATAAATCTATGTATTTATATTGGAATTCAATAGATCATTAAATTGGTTTTCATTTATTCAGTAAATGCTCTTAGAGTAACTTGATAGACATTCATCACTTGAAAGTGTACTTCCTTCCTTAATCTCATACCAAAAACCGTTTCCCAAAGGACTGAATATTTCAGTGTTGAAAAGCTCTAAATAAATCAGCATAAAACGTTGTTATGGTTTCTGTCTAGATGTTCCCAAAGAGCCTCATGCACGCACAGGCAGGGCTTCTGGAAGGGGATTGATCGTGGAGATTCGTAGCTGACTCACTGTTAGGACCTGCGCTCACGGTGTCACTGGAAGGGTGCATCTCCCTCCCCAGCTGCTCCTTTCTCTCCCGGCTGCCCAACTACAAAATGTGAGCGGCCTCCCTCTGCCCAGGCCCTACCACGCTGCTTCTGGTCTGAAACCAGTTGACCATGAACTGAAACCCTCATAAACTATGAGCCAAAATGAACTCCTTCAAGCAGCAGAGGTCAGGCATTTGGTCTCAGTGACGGGAAAGTGACTAAGACAATTATCAAAGAGTTTGTTAATCTCGAAAAGGGATTGGAAACAAATATTTAATAGTATGGTACAAAGAAGAAAGATAAGATTCCAAACTCTATGTAAAATCTGTATTATAAACCAGAAGATGTGCTTCAAGTATATTGGAACTGAGAGTACATGTGCTATAATGATGAGAGAAAAAGTTTAATATAGGTTCCTTACGAATGAAACAGAAATGAAAATCACCCAAATGGGCAAAGTCCTAGATGTGTGATTCACAAAAACCAAAGCATAAAGGGCAGTAAACTGGTGGAAGATATTTAATATGATAAAAAAGCAGGAGAAACAGCATACTAAATTCTGTTATCCAAATGTTACAAATATTAAAATGTCTGATAGAAAGGAAGATGCAACACAGTATTCACACTTTTAATCTGGTTTTTCCACTGGTTGTGAAGTCATCTCAGCTTAGTTTTTTAGAATTCCCATGAGTGCGTGCTGGTCATAGAAGCAGACAGCCAGGGGTAGGAGAGAGCAGTACACTCTAGCTCCAGGGCCATCGATTTTTAACTAATTTCAAGTAATTTAAGTCATCATTTATAAAATAAATAAACAGATACAATTTAGTGAAACAAAATCTACATGACAAAAACAGTTTCATAATGGAGACAAATTTATTTAGATGACAGTTGGGAGTATGCATTTTCCATGTCAGCTATTGATACTTTTGCTCTGGAATGTAAAATAATTACTCAGTGGCTGCTACAAAGAGTATATTCTACACATGCTACATGTGTTATTTTGACTATTTAATAAAATCAACCCGCATGTGAATAGATCTGAACAAATAAGTGGTATTAATGGACATTGATGAGAAATCTACAGGGGAAACAAAGAACCTAGCCATCAAAAGTAGACCGGATTTGGAGAGAAGAGGCAAGAAAGACTACTTGAAAAGGCTTTTCTTAATGAATCTTGAATGAAAAATACCGCGTCTAGAGTAATGAACAAAATATGCTAGACCTAACAATAGCATAGATCAAGGGATGGTTCTCAAAAGTCATGGGTTGCTTAGGGAACCCCACGTGCTGTCATGGCAATAGGTGCCATCCATGGGATTGGTGGAAGACACAGAGAACTAGGAAGGGGCTTGTGTGTAGTGCTACGGAGGTTGACAGTTACTTTGAAAGTGTCTTTAGGAGACTGTCTGCTAAAAGGGGAACCATACCCTCTAGAGGGCACATGGAAATGAATGAAGAGTGTGTTTGTGATCCCTGGTGAATATTTTTTGGCATTTCATCCGTGGGCCAAGGATGTTAAAAATCTTGCATGCTGGCCACTTCTTTAGAAGAAAATCTGACCAACCAAATATATCAATAGAAATTTCATTACAGAATATTGAAGTGTTTTAAGAAAGTGCGACAAATGTGAATTGCACATTAGGTCACTTTGGTAGTGATATTTAGAAGAATTTTCATGTGAATGAGACTGAAAAGAGTAGAAAAAGGGAATGAAAAGTAAATGTCACTGAAGATGGAGAAAGAGATGCATTTGGGAGATGTATAAGAAACAAATTTGGAAGAATCTAGAGAAAGAGCAAGGAGGGGAGGAAACAAGCATTTCAGGATCATTCACAAGTCTCTGGTTTGGGCGGCTGGAAGCAAGATGATGGCATTCGTGAGATAAAGAGTAAAGGAGAGGGTGGAGGAAGACGTGTGTACTGCATCTGTTGGAGAGAGGTCAGGGGCAAGTTTAATATGGGGAGCGATCACAGGGAGGGGCGGGGACTTTAGGTAGGAATGGAATCGCTCACGGAGGGTGTAAGTGAGCACTGATCCAAGAACACGGCAGATTCCTGGGGAAAGCTGATGCTTAAAGGGATTGAGGGAGGACTAAGTATATGTATATGGATAGAGAGATTAGTGTGTGTGTATGTATTCATATACTAAAATTACACGTGTACCTTAGCTCAATTACATATATACATAGCTCAGTGTATATAAATTATTTATATATATTTTGTGCATTATATATACTGAAAATGTCTTTTGTTTATAAAATCATGAATCTTGGTCATTACATGTAACTGAATTTCAAAGGAGAAAGCTTAAAAAGTATCTCTGGTATCTGCTATAGTGTATCATTTATTCACATTTGTATAGTTCCATGGTTCACTCAAGAAAAAACAACCGAAGGAAATACTGTGGAAGATGAAAATTCTTTTAATGATTAAACTAGATACACATATCAGTGAGCCTGTTTAGATAGGGAACCCTAGAAATGAAATTGTACTGATTTAATAAATTCATACAAGAGTTATATTTATGAGCCGGGACTGGTGGCACATGCCTGTAATCCCAGCACTCTGGAGGCTGAGGCAGGAGGATGGCTGTGAGTTTGAGGCCAACCTGGGCTACATAGTGAGTGAGTTCCAGTTCAATCTCAACTACATAGTGAGACCCTGGCTCAAAAAAACAAAACAAAGCAAAACAAAAAAATGTTACATTTATAATTCTCTGCTAAGTTTTATTTTGATGCGATAAATAAAACTTCAAGTGATATTTAATTCTCATTAATGTCTTGTGATATGGTTATCTAATAAGTTTAAAAGCCCTGAAGGTGACATTTATTTTTATCAAAGAATATGATTCACCATAATTTTATGGGCACTTAAACAAACACAGGTGTGTAAACAATTATACTTAAGTGCTATAAATGTTGCAGGAAATTGGCCTGCAGAGAGGTAGACTGAAAAACGCAGCGTCAGATGGTAATAAATACAAGAAAGGAGAATAGAAATGGTCCTGAGAGCAGTTTTCCCAGGAACTGAAGCTGTTAGGAGGTACGTTTGATAATGTAAGACAGCTGGAGACACAGAGGAATCACAATTGTTAGGCAACTTAATGAGAAAAATGCATCATCGATTGAAAACATCTGCAGTGACAATTTGAGCTGGAGCAGTTCAAGACGGCTCTGGATTCCAAGCCCCTCCCTGAAACATCTGACATGTTTCCTCGCAAAATGCAGGACTTGGTGTGTTCTTACAGTCAATTATCCTTGTCACTGCTTCTAATGGTGCTTTCGCTGACTCCGATGAAGACAGCTTTCCAGGTGGCTTAAATTCGGGACAAAATTTGAAAATCAGGCCCAAATTATTTTTATCCATAGCAATTAAGGATGCCATCCTGCTATTACGTTTCCTCTCTGTCCTCCTAGCTCTCGTTAGCCCTCAACATTAAGTCCTCTTTTTCTTAAACCATCACAAATTCCAGCATCTCCGATGAGATCCTCGGTGATTTGAAAATTTTCTCCACCTCCTTCTTCCCAGCACGTACGCACCGCATTGTCCTCCCTTTCCTTTGAAGTTTTGCTCCCTGATGATTTCTTTGGGAGCCAGATGACTTCACTGGCCATCTGTAGAAGGGTAATTTCCAAGTCTGTTTCAGCGCCCCTGACCTCGAATAATTCCCCAATCAGTCATACATTTTATCAGGTCCAGTCGCCCTTCCAAATGAATCACTGTCATGATTAGCTGCCACGTAGGAAGCTGTGAGAGAGGCAGAAGTTGTGTAACCTCCTACTTCGTCTTTATTAAAGGGAGACGTCTCCTGCCTGACTTTTGAAGGCTCCCTTCAGCTGACCCCGTTTTCCCCCCTTAACCTAATTTCCCAGCAAGTTTCTCCACTTGACTCCAGTCTAGTTCTTGGAGAAAATACATGTTACTCCTTGCTAAGGTGCTTTAATCTTTTATTTCTTTCCTCTAACATGTAGGTCTTTGCTTTCTTCCCTAATAAATATCTGCTATATTTGTAATATGATCGGCCCTTCTGCAACTCATGTTGAGTCCCCATTAGGAGACAGATGTTAAGAGCAGGACCAGAAGGGCCCTTTAAGAAAAGATTGGTCTGCATTCATGAGTGGTTAACTCACTCATATGATTAGCACATTAACGGGTTGAGAGCTGGGCCAGGAGCCACCTGTGCTTTCGAGCAGACAGCAAGAGGAACCGAGGGATGAGCCGATGAAAGCTCCGGGCTTCCCCGAACCTGCAGAGGCCCGAGGTAGGCGAGGTCTGGCCCCTCCTCTTTGAGGCTGTTTCAGGGACCCCAAAGTGTGTGTGTGTGTGTGTTTGTGTGTGTGTGTGTGTGTGTGTGTGTGTGTGTGTGTGTGTGTGTGTGTGTTTTGGCAGGGAAAGCCCCTGGAGCACTGCCTCGGGCTGGGCATGGGCACTGCAGGTCGTGGGTTCCCTGCTGCCCTGTCAGCCTGTCTTGCCCCTTAGATCTGCTTGGTGTTCTGACTGCATTCAAGGCTCTTTTGCCAAAGGTTTCCTGTGTCAGAGGGCCCTTCCCGTCCCCTCCTCCCTCTGGCTTCCTGTCCTCCAGCCTCTCGCCGCTGCTCCCTCTGAAAGGGCCCCTTCTTCAGATTTACATGTACCTGCAGGATTTGGGAGAAAAGAGCATTTATTAGGCACTGTAGCCATTTGCATTTAAAAATGCCTAAGCACTTATTAAGCTCCTTGATGTACGCTGTGGATTTGGTCTCTGATCTCAGCTATCTCATTAAATGTCTTCTAAAAAAAAGAGAGAGGGAATGGATCTGCTCTAAAAGATAAGTTTGAGTAGGTTTGTCACGTGCTCCCTCTTTCACACCATGTGACACCCTGTACCACCTCAGGGTGTACCTGTGCCTTCTGCCAGTTTGAAGAGCACTACCAGATTCACGCCCTTGACTCTGAGTCACAACTGCTGGCCAAAATTCACCTCTTCTCTTTATCTCACCTACGCTGTGGTGTTGTGCTAATGGCAACAAGAAGCATATTGAGTACCTCTTCGTTGCCTGTGAATCTCTTTTCGGCTTCCTGTACTTTCCTTGACTTTGAGCTCTTCTCAGGCAACAGCTTTGTTATACTTAAAACCTTCCTACAGAGACTGGGTAGGTAGCTCAGTGGTAGAACCCTTGCCTAGCAAGTGAAAGGCCTTGTGTTCAAGCCCCAGCCTACAAAATGTAACAAAACTAAACAAAAAAATTTGCCAAGCTTTGCATTGAGAGATAAAGTAAAAACTTGTCAGCTTACTAGTCTAGGGTCTTTGGTCTAGACTATGTGTCCATTCCTCTTTCTAATATCATCACAGAAAATCTATCTTCTATTTTAACCTGGGCTGATTTAAATTGCTAAATATGCTTCTTAACATCTCTTTCCTCCCAGTATTTTCTGTGGTTCTTCCTTTTCTCTCTAACTGAAATCACTTTATTACTGAAGACTGGTGAATGTTGGGACAGGGTGACAGTATTTGTGTCATCATATTTTGATAACTTTCATGGTTTCAAATTCTCCTTGAATCTTGTTGTGTATCTTGTTCTGAGCCTTGCACTTAGTAGTTGCTCAATAATGATGCTGAATTGAAATCAGTACTTTTAGATAGCCTGGAATTTTCCTCTATCTTATGGGCATAGGAGAATCGTTTTTGCTTCCATTTTCCCTCTGTTTTTGTTTGTTTGCTTTTTGTTTTTTAGTCTGCAATGACTCCTTTTCTCTACCACTTAACTAAGCCAAACCCTTATTATTATTTTTTAATCCTTTTTCAGGGCCATCCTGAGAATATGATTGTTACACAGGGCAATTACTTTTATTGTATCTCTTATGTTTAGTCAAGCAACATGTAATACTTAATTACTGAATTTGAATGTCTTTATGTTATTTCATGAGTTCAACCTATCCCGAAGAAAGATTTTTAACGAGGAACAGTCACATGCTCTCTTTTCCTGTAGTCCTTAGTAGAGTACTGAGCACAGAGTAGGACCTTACAGGAGTAACGTAGTGCTCCACTAATATTTCCTCTTTGAAGCTAAAGCATTTGTTGCTCTACCAAACTCACTATGTAGCTCAGGCTGGCCTTGATCTACCTCTACTGGGAATCTTTGTTACATAGGGCTCAAGGCAGTGCCTCTTTCTGGGAATTGCCCTCAGTTACTAAGACTGCCTCTCTGAGGGTAACTTCTACCTCTTGGGCTCTGGCCCATCCTCAACAACAGTCTGACTCAGACGCAGAGACCCTTCCTTCCCTCTCGCAGTGGATTATAAAAACTTTGAAGGGCTATCTCAGTTCCAAAGCTTCTTTAAGATCCTTTACAAACCTCACTGTCAGTTGCATGTGATGCAGCTTTTCTCTCCCTTACAGTCAGGGATGTCCTCAGAGATGACTCCCAGAGAACTTCTACAAACAACTAGTCATCTTGATCTCTGTTTGGAGAAACTCAACCTAAGACTGAGCTTCCATATATTTCTAATCCTACCTATTTAATTACGGCGCATTTAATTTTCAAGGTTACCTTCACATCACCGCTAAACTAATGTGAAATAAAGTAATTCCCATTTCTAAATTTTATGAGACACAAAGGGCAGCTTGACTTTTGTTAACGAGCATCATGTCAGTTATAGCCAAAAGATACCAAGCAATTCAGTTTTAGTGAAAACACACAGGAGTTTTAAAAAATATGTTTTTGAAAAAAGTTTAAAGATACAAGAAAAAGAGAGACAGAAATATCATCAGAGAAGAATTTGTTTTAACAATTTTGGCCATGGGGTCGGGATTTAGCTCAGTGGTTCCACCGCCTGCATCACAAGCACAAGGTCCTGAGTTTGCTCCCCGATTACAAAAAAATTTTTTTTTGGGCCACAAATGACCATCTTTTAAAAATGTATTTATGAAACTGACTCAACAATTGATTCTTTGTATGACTTCTGAGAATCTTTGGTGTGGCAGGCTGGAGCACACAGATTAAGGGAGGGCTTTCATGTATGGTCTGTCACACAGAATTTTTAAACCAATATTATATCAAGCCGTCTTAGTGAGTTATGACTCAATGGGGAGTTATATCTGAAAGAAAAATATTTTGCATATTTCTGACTCACTTATAAAAATAGGAACACTTCTTTAAGTTAAAACCCAGATAAGTCTAGCATTAATATAAACTAGAGAAAATAAGGTCACTTTGATGTAATTTTTAATTGCTGAGTCATTGTTTGTTAAATGCTTCCTCTATATTTCTCTTATTGTTTTAACTAAAGTGAACAAATATTTTCTTTATGGATAAAATGGTATCATGTTAGATGAAATAAGTAACATGAGAAATTGTACGTTCTATATCATTACAATTATGTTGGAATACACACAGGTGAATACCAGGAAATGCCAACGGATGGGATACAGGCAATTGATTTTTATTCTCATTTTTGTGAATAGATGTAAAAATAATATATATGCTATGAGGACCATAAAAATAAATAAATGCTTTTCAAACAAGAAGCTGAAGTAATTTTTATCAAAATTCCACTTGGAGGAGGAAGAGAGTGGAATTTAAACCTCCATCATGAAAGAATAGAGACAGTGTGTGTCACTGCGAATTGAATAATTATGTAACTATTACCTATATAGGAAACATTTTTAAAAATTAATTTTACAGGTCCATTTAATATGAACAATATAATGACATTCATTGTTGGAAATTTGTACCTTTACATAATCCACTTGGTTCTTATTTTTTCCCCATTTTCCCAGCCACCCCTTCAACCCCTCCCTCCCTCCCTATCTACAAAGACTTTGTTTCCATTATTTTGCATTATTATAACCTCACTTGATCTCACTTTTTAAAATATGTATACAGCAGTGTTAGAATATATAGACTCTAAATTTCCTTATACTCAATAGAATTTTGCCATAATTCTAAAATTTAAGCAAGACATATCTAAGGGTTCATTCTTCAATATTTCCTCCCTTCTTAACAATTCTAGTCATATTATGGTCTCATACTTCCACAGATGTAAAAGTAATACATATGTGGGCCAGGGATGTAGCTCAGTGCCTAACAAGTGCAAGGTCCTGAGTTCAATTCCAGGTACTACTACTACTACTACATATGTTGAAATTCCTAAATGTATTCCTCTGTCCTGGGCTTCTCCTCTGACTTCTGGAAAATCTTCTTGGATGACTGATAGGCATCCAAACCACAATACATCCAGCCTGAAATGTTGAGCCACTCAAATTGTTACTCCTGATAGTTTTTGGCAATTCTATTCTTCCAGTTACTCAGGACAAAAGCATTGGATTTATGCTTGACAGTTTTTCTTTCTCTTAGATTGCACATCCAATTTACTAGCCATTCCCATTGGCTCCACATTTAAAATATATCCAGACCACCATTACTTTTGGTCACATCCATTAACCACCCTAGTGGAGGCCACCAACATCTTTGGCCTAGATTATTGCAATGGACTCTTGACTCTTGGATTCTGCTCAAAAAGAAGCCATGGAAATACTCTGAAATTGTACACCAAGCCAGATCATCCATATTTCTGTGAAGACGAATATAAATTTGCGAGTTATTATCAGTTTAATTGGTGACTGGAGTTTAGAAAATAAGTGAGATTGTCAAGGAAATGTACTAGAGTGACTTTAACAATGAGCAAGAGAAGATGGGAAAGATAGAAAAGGAATAGCCTATGCTGGGCATGGTGGTACACTCGGAGGCTGAACCAGGAGGATCTCTGTGAGTCCAAGACCAGCCTGGGCTACATAGTGAGTTCCAGGTCAGTCTCAGCTACATAGTGAGACCCTGTCTCACACAGAAAAAGGAATGGCCTACTGATGGGAGGAAATTCACTTCAGGTGAATATGTTGGTGCATAATTTTCACCAGATGCTCAATAAACATTTTATGACTAAGAGAATCACTAAATAAATGGATGTTAAAATTAATTTGGTACCTGAAATAGCTGTTGTTGTCATTCTGGTGGAGTAACTGTAATCTTAATTCGAATTTAGAGTAACATTCTGAATCACATGAATTGATAAAAATCTATACACCAATTTCCCAAACACTTATATATGTTTTTCCTTTTCCCATGCACTGTTAATTTAGTAACAAGTTTCTTTTGAAGATACTGTACAATAAGTGCTTAAGTTCAGTGTAATAGCCTAGAGTATTGGCTTACAGCCAAATGGTTTGGGATAATATCTAAGCCCTTCTTTTTATTATCTGAGTAACCTTGGACATTTTACTTA